CCCCCTCCAGCAGATCAGGGAGACACGGAGCGGCTTTTCTCAGCAGACACCTCAGCTTGAGAATAAAGGACCGAGGGAAGTGAGGTGTGGGAGAATAAAACTGAGCTCTGGAGAAATGTTTGGCTAGAGTTTCCCCTACAATATGTACCAGTTCCGACTTACATACAAATTCAACTTAAGAACAAACCTACAGTCCCTATCTTGTACGTAACCCGGGGACTGCCTGTACTCTTCCTACTCTGACTAGTTATGTTTGCAACCTACTTTCCTTTAAATTTTCATCCCTCCTTGTAAACAGCACAGCAAAGCTGCATTGGCATTGAAACTGGTAGATTAGATGTTGGGTCCAAGATGGAAGCATGCTATGAAACTCAAAACAATGTAGTTAAGGGTTTTTTTTTTATGACAGCACTGTGAAATTAGAAGCACACACCAGGACTAAAATGGTGTTCAGTGCCCATGTAAAAAGTTAGTAACCTTTTAATAGGCAACCTTACTGGGGACTGTCGGCCACAGTGATCTTCGTATAGCACATCAGATGATAGGCTTCTGTTTAAAAAGCTCCTTCCTTCTAGCTCTATCCCCTTTCTTTGCAGGGAGACTTCAAGAGCCATGACTTGATTAGGAAAATAGTTTGTATTTTAGAACATGTTAATTAACATAATTTTAAAGAAGAGTTTGCACCTAAGGGAGGCAGAGCAGGTTGTATTAAATGTTGTCTGTGTTGGATGCGGTAAACCCTAGAGGGGTGTACTTGTATTAGCCAACAAGTATTTTTAAATAGGTTGTTTTCCTTGTCTAGACATAGCCAAAATATAATCTTATTCCTGGGGAGGATTGTCAGTGGGATAGGAAAATGGTAGCCCATGAAAAACACAACTTGCTCACTGCAAGCTCCAAGGAAAAGATACATATGTGTGTGTGTGCGGGGCGACGGGGGGACTTTGTCGACTTCTTTCCACCCAGCTCTTTGTTCTCATTCGATTGCCTCTCTCTGCAAATCTCCTGAAGACTGTGAAAGGAAGTCTTTCTCCTGCACAGTTTGGGGGTAGGTGGAGGCATGGAAGACTAGCTGGAGAGAGCAAGATAAATGAGTGTAACTTTTTCTCTGGAGGACCGACCTGTTCAGGCCCTGGACAAGCCTTAGGCCCATGTACCTGCCTTGGTGAGATTTAGGACATCCATCATGGACACTCCTTGTCCACCCATGAGCCTGACACTTGGAGTGGCGCATCATCCTCTCTGAGACTTACGAGGCATATGAGAAGGTTCTCTGGACTCCCACCCATCCCCAATAAACCCTAGATAATGTGCTAGTCCCCAGGGAACCTGGTTTGAGTTGATGATGGGTCATTGGGGCATGGCTGGGCCTGTCATGGTCCATTTGGGCCTGAAAAGCCTTTTAAAGTTTGTGGGAGAAGGGAGAGACTCACTCAAGAATCACCTGGTAAGGTAGTAGGAGGTAGATTAGAGGTTTTGCCAGGCCTAGGGCAGCAAGAAGATCAGGGTTGGAGTTTACTGCCTGAGTATCCATGTCCTGGGAATGAGGAATAGCAGGAAGCACAAGGAAGGAATTTGTCACAGCTGGGAGCCTCTGCCTGGTTTGGTGATACACATGAGTTGAGTGTGTTATTTCTGTAAACATTGTAGCTGCCTCAGCTTTTGGAAAGTAAGCTGCATTTAGGGTTGCCAGGTGTCTGGTTTTGAACTTTGAACTATTTGAGCTTTCTGTTCAGGAAACAAATTGAGAAAATATAAATGAGAAAATATAAATGTCTGGTATTTTTGAAATAAGATGTAATATAGATTGTGATGTCATGTCCAGTGTGCCCGGTATTTTTGTTAAAACCATCTGGCAAGCCTAGTTACATTCTGGCTCGCTTACTTGCAACAGCATTGTCAGCTAAGCTCTTCCTCGCAGGGCTAAATGCTGCTCTGAGTTGCAGATCAGAGTCCGTATCAGTTCAGACCAGTGTCACAGAAGGCAGCCTTGTGCACACTGAGATGGCCAAGGGGTCTCTTTGAGGCTGTTACTGGAGACATAAAGACTCAGCTGGACTTTCAGATCCCAGGCTGAGTTTTGGAGTGGCAGGGCTGGGGGCTTGTAAATGTGCCCCAGAAATCCTGAGTAGCAATTCATGTGAAAGTCTGCTGTGTTACCTTAACAGTCACATGTCATGCTGTGCTGTAGGCCTGTATTTTGAAGACTCTTGCTATTCTCTGGAGCAGCTGCAGCAGCAGTTCACGTCTGTGCTTAGCTTGCTGGACCCCTAGCCAAAGAGGATGTGCCGTTCTCTCCCCCCTTGCATCATATCACAGAGGGCAGGGTATCAGTGTAATCGGCCTCATAGATGCCCATAAAGCATGCTTAGAGGTGATTTTGTAATTGCTTATAAGCACTGTACAATTGTTTTATTTTTAATTTCTCCATGACTAACCAATCCCAAGACTAAGACAAGTAACTCACAGAAGACTAGCTGCTTTCTAAGCTTGGAGTATTTCTGTTCTGCCATTTCTGAGTTATTGGAACATACATCTCCTTGCTAAGGCAAAGTATGAAATTTTGGGCCACCTGGTGCCACTCAGAGGCGGACACCATCTGCTCCAACTGCATTACTTTTGTCTTTCCTTCTCGCCTATGTTCCCCCTCTTGTTTTTCACACTCATTTGTTGCACCTTGTAACAAATACAGGGTGAATTCTTCAAGGTAGCATTATCTTACTGTGGGTAGGTACCACGCCTGGCATAATGAGGCCCTGGGTTTTGCTGGGGCCATTAGTGTTCAATACTAATACAAATAATAAAGACATGTTTCAGTAGAAAAAGTGGATTTCACAACCAACAGGGAGCATGTGAAAGTGGGTTACATTGAAATTCTGGTGGGAACGCTGCAGCTTTTACCAAAGCTACTATAGTGATACTTACATAGGCTATGTCTACACAGCAGCATTATTTCGGAATAACTGACATTATTCTGAAATAACAAAGAGCCCATCTAAAATACAAACCTTTATTTCAAAATAATGGCAAGCTGGAAGACTTCTTACTCTGACTCCTGTAAGCTTTGTTTCACGAGAAAGTAAGGGAAATCAAATGAAGAACGTTTTGCCTTCGACTTCCTGCTGTGTAGACAGCACCAAAGGTGGAATGAAGCTATTTCAACTTCAGCTGCGCAATTAACATAGCTGAAGTTGCACACTTTAATTCGACTTTAGCCCTGCTGAGTAAACATACCCATAGAATGTTAATAGATGCAGGGTGAAAACTCTCAGGAGTATTTGGAGGGATAAGGTTTCCCTTTTAAGGTGCTTTGCTGCAGTGTTCTCTCTAATCCTTTCCATCCATGTGCAGAAAACAATTTTTATGTGCACCCCCCAATGCATGTGTGAGTATGCACCACCAGTGGAAACAAACAAACCTAGCTGTGGACACTCTGCTAATCATCTGGGTGGCATTTAAATCACACTCAAGTGGCTGCACAAGCACACAGCTTACAGGGAACACCCCTCTGTTTTAAGTGGTACCTAGCTTGTTCAAATATTTAAATTCCTGTTGTTACTGGGGAAAATATGCAAAGAGATACACGGCCACGAAGGCATGGGATAAGATTTGGGAAATGAGCACTGCTCAGTAAAGATACAGCATATGGAGACTCAGTGTAAACTATTTAATAAGGCTGTGCATTTTTGCAGTGGGCCAAAGGAGAGCTTGTGTCATGGGACATATAAGGCAAAATAGTCTTTTTTCTTTTCCTCTGTTCAGGAGTGAATTTCATCCCATGTATCCAATTCAGATATAATAGCTGTGAATCCCCCACCCTGCCGGAAGGTTTGTGCAGTTTCAGCTGCCCAATCATTTAAATCACGGGTCCATGTGAACAGTTCAGCAATGGGGACATGCTGGAGCGCTCTTTGAGAAGTGACTTATAAAGCCTACACGGAGGCTACACTTGTGGATTTGTATTTGTGTCACTTGGGATGTTGTCTTTGACTTAGTGGGTAGAGAGAAGAGCAGAAGAACTTCCTGGCTGACTGCTGCTAGCAGCCAGAATCACATGAGATGTTCACCAGAGAACATATTATGCCCCATTATGTCTTGTTATCAATGGTATGGGTGACCTTAGCAGTTGAGAAACCCACCTGGACTTTTACACTGATCCCTATATCACTGGGACTCCTTTAATATTAACAAAATGTCAACTTGGCGCCACTGAATGTTTCTTCTCACATTATTCTTACCACAGAATAGACCTTGCGGAAAGATAGATGTCCGTGTACTCATTTGAATTTGAAAGTGAACTTTGGTTTGACCATTGTTTTGGTATTCTCATGTTTGCATTCTAAGAACTTCCAAGCACTCTAGGTTTAGTACTGTAAATTCTCAAGCAAAGTGAATATAAATCCTGACTATGCACTGATTTCAAATAGCCTGTGTGGAACAAAAGCAATACAACGTGATTTATGTAAGTAACCAGCCCAGCGTGACTTTGTGTCACTTGCATAATCATTACTGACCTTTTGTTGTCCTGAATTTTGAAAATGATTTCTATGTTTTTTTAATGGACCAAAATAAGTCTCCTTGTTGAAACAACCAGCAATGGGAATGTCCTCAATCTTGATTTGAATCATGAATTGAGCTCTAGGATGGGTATCGTTTGATGGGAGTCTTTGATGGGTCAGGGAAGAATTTGGAATGTTGAAATCAATGGAATTAAGCAGAGATTAATTTGGTCCATTAAACCTCAAATATTGGACTTTACACAGGATACACTAGTACTTCAGCTATATAGCGACATTGTTCTATAACAATACAACAGAAGTTCAGTAACTCAGTTGAAATTCATGAAGTGACTACATAAAACTGGTGTGTGAGAGAAGTAGATGCCAATGTATCTTGTTAATCAACACAATTCACTGCTACTTATCTGTCTAGCCTTGTCATTTTAAATACTTGCATTAAATAACATGATGCTTGAAAAAGCCCTTTTTGTTGCCTTCTAGGTTACTGGTTTGTTGGCTTCTCATTGGAATATCCCCTGGTTTGGATTTGCTGGCCAGAGTGCAAATTTGGATAATGAAGTTCTGTACGACACCTATGTCAAAGTTGTGTCCCCTCTGCAAAGGATAGGGGAAGTTTTACGTGAAAGCCTGCAGTATTTTGGCTGGAAATATGTTGGATTATTTGGAGGATCATCTGATACTTCCACCTGGGAGAAAATTGATGGACTCTGGAGGTCTGTCGAAAACCAACTCAAAGTCAATATCACGATCACTGCTAAAGTCAGATACAACACACAAGACCCAAGTCTCCACCGAGAAAACCTCAAATACATATCATCTGTTGCCAGAAGTAAGTTCCAGTTTAAAAGTGTTTTATATTGGCTGGCTTTAAAGAGTCTAACTGTAGAACTTTGCCAAATACAGATGAATGCAACAAATTACTTATCATTCTGGAAGCATATCTGGTATATTTTTATTAAACATATTGTAATTAGGATACTAAATGATATGTACTAAGATCAGGCTCTTACTCGATCTTGGATCCAACCAAGCCTCTCTTTCCACCACAAACAAACCAGTCTGACTTGGGTCAGTAAGCATTCAATGCCTAAGTGCTAAGACTCTGCGGGGTGGGGGAAGTCAAAGCCCAAAACCCTCTGAGACTCAGCTCCAGTAATTTTGCAGTGTGAACGCGTGTCAAGCAGCAGACCCAGGTCAGAAAGTCTTTGTAGTGCAGTACAGATGCTCTAGCATGGCGGTGAGACCAGATTCCAGCAATTTTAAACCCAGTTTTACAATCCAGTATGGATGCTCAAGCACAAGTTTGGAAATGTCAAATCCACTAGCCTGGGTCCCATAGACCCAGGCTTAGCGGGCAGTGCAGAAACCCTTAGTTACATGGGGACTTAAACTGGAAAGCAAACTATGGCATTCCATATTAAAGCAATTATATTACTGGTGCACTTAGAGAAAAGATATACTCATAACCCCTCCTCCCCCTTCCGAGTATATATCAACTCAGTGCAATAGCATGTCAATAGGAAGGCAATAGTCAAATCAACCCGGCTTAATCAGAATTTTGCCCTTGTCTCATGATGGAGGTCAGAGGTTATGAGATGCATATTGGTGCATGGGGCTTACTTGGTTTTATGCTTGAATGGACTACTTCTTGCTGTCTATTCTGTATTATTACTTTAGAATGATTTCTGACACACACACACACACACACACACACACACACACACACACATTCAAAAGCTCAGCTATGAGTGACATAGAGGATGATTGATAGGTTCTCACTAGCTATGGAGTAAAACACTTACACACTATAACTAGGAAACATTATCTTGTGGGTGAAAGTGTAGCAGCAAGATTGGGTTAGTGTGAGTGGAGACTGGAAGCCAGCAATGCTGACTTAATTGTGATTTGCTGTACAAAGAGGAAACACTCCCTGCCTTAAAGTGTGATTCCGATGTTGAGTTGTTTTTAATGGAACTGGAGATTTTTTCCCCCTTCAGCATCCTTGTTAATTCAATTAATGCAGTCATCACTCCATAAGGGCAGCAAACAAAAGAATTCCCCTGACAGTATGCAATATTAATCTCATTTCAGTTTGAAATGAATTGCACTGTGGTAACTATCCATTGCTGCAGAAAAGGGGGGTCTAAAACTAGTGTATAACACACAAATGGACCAACAATAATTTGCAGGTTTGGTTACCTAGTTAAACTAGTTACAGTGATAGCTTTGTTATCTGGCACTCATGGGGAGTGTTGTCAGTTAATTAAACAAGCCAGAAAACAAAGCTTATTGCTTTGCCCTTGCCCCCTACTAGCAGATCCGGCTCCTGGAAGTTCGACGCAGGGTGAGCGAGAGGAAGCGCCTGCAGATGCTACCAGCCGGCAATGCCGGCATTCAGAAGCCCTGCAACAGCCAGTGAGACAGGTGCAAAGTTTTCCAGTTAACAGAGTGGTGGATAACAAAGCTATCACTGTAGTTTGTTAAATGGTTTGAAAGACTTCTGCTAAACTAGCCCTTTGGCAGCTGATATGCCCCCATTAAAATAGACATCTTAAGGGTTTAGCTCCAGCTCTCTCCAGCAGTCCAAGGGTTAAATGTGGTTTTGAACAGGGAATGACAATAGCCAGTTAAAAAGTTTGAAGCAAAACATTTTCCTGCAAGAAAGCGGGGTTTTATTAAAATGACATTTTTCTGTCTACATGAATGAAAGAAACATTTCGATCCAGGTCAGCACTGATCTATGTCCTAATCCACTCCAGTGCCTCATGGGGAGCTGTAGTCCGAGGTCCCTTGCAGGCTCTGTTCTCACTTATCGGCCCAGCTGCCTGGCTGGATTCACATTTGCCGTAACACACTGTGGTCTCTCCCTATGGCCATACCCACATGGTGCATCAAGGATGGGGAATCACTGTGGTCATTAGGGATCTAGAACTGCAACACTCAGGTGAACATAGAGATTAATGTAGGCCCGAATTACATAAAGCATTTGAATTACACCAGTTGCTGTGGTTGCTCATAGAAATGGGGGAAGCCCCATCTCTGCTATTCAATTGACAATGTGTCCTCCCCATCACACCCATCCTAAATGCTGTACTACTAGTCGCTGCTCCTGGGAGGCACAGTTACACACATCAGCTTTCTGGAGTCACGAAAACCACTGATAATGGACATACGGATTTTTCAGATCTAGACACAGAGGAGAGAAGACGACAACCTGTCCAGAACAAACTCATTGACTTGTCAATGAGACCTGATCCACAATATTCCATCAACCATTTTTTTTACAAAACAGCAAGACAAACCCCAAATATTTTCTGTTAAAAAGCAAAACAAAATTGGGTTTTCATTAAAAATAAGGGGCTTTGAGAAAATTTGTGTTTTAAAAATGATATTTTACTAAAAGAATGTTTTGAATCACAACTTTTGGGGGAGGAGGGGAGCTTGAAAAACATCATGAAACTTAAAAAACGAGAATGTTTAAAAATGTCCTCTAAAGCAATGGATGACTTTTATTACATTAACTGTGATCAAGGTTCTTCTGTTCCTTTTTATACAGAAACCTGGTCTGGTTTGAAAGGTGGCTTGCTGTGGCAGTGCAGAATTCTGATATAAAATGCTCATGTGCTCATTGGAACGTCAATATTCAAACACTTCAGTAAATCAGAATGATTTCACCACTACATATTTGCTACATGATTTGCTCATTGCTTGTAGCTACAGTAAGATTTTTTTTCTGCTTGTGTTTTGAAAAGCCTGATTACAGAAAGCTTTCCTCATCTATGGCCTCCACACTCTTCCCTTATTAGCACATAGCCTTTAATGAGAAATGAAGAAAGATAACTCAAATGAGCAGGTTATATCAGAGAACCAAGGAAGCTGAATATAATTGCTGTGCACAATTGTAATGCTGGTTACAGATCCCAGCTGGGTCATCTCTGTTCACTGTTAGGCTCATGAGAAGCTGATTT